GGGCATAGGCCTTTGATGTTATTTATAATCTCATAGACTAATGCATTCCCAATTCTTCATTGCTCCCTATCAGATAAAAACCAAACAGTGATGTCAGTGGTTCCACAGAGGTGAGAAATTTGACAAGTTAGTGTGTTTGATCAGGGAGTGTGTGCTTCAATAACGTTTTTAGAGTTGTTCATTTTCAAATACCTGTGAAGAGCTTACAAAGTAGAGAGCTCCCTGATCTTTGCATTTTTTCCTCTTTAAAGGTTCCAAAACTTTGCTGTCGCCACCACAGGGGTTATCTAAATTTTTGTTCTCATTATTCTCAGCATTTTATTTTCTTTCCAGAAACGAGTCTTTGGTCTTGACTTGTATTTGCCACAATTAACTTTTATATAGCTCCTTGTAATTCTTTCGTAGCATTCCATTCAAATAAGGGGCAAAAATGCAAACCTAAGTGGAACAAATTAAACTTTTCAGAGTTCTTTTACAAGCAAAAATTCTCTTAGATGAAACTGTCTGGGGTCACACACCTCCACCTGAAATATAAATGTCCTGAAACCAAATAAGTAAAAAGGGAAAATCAGTTGACTTGTTTTGTGTTGGATTGCGGGTTTTATGCACATCAAAGTCAAATGAATAGCAAATTGAGAAGAATTCCACTTATGGTTAGAAAGTCCGTGATAGTCATAACTACATAATTGTGTAAATCTGTCCTTATTTATGTGAACTTCTTGTGAGATTTACTTCGGGGTATAACCTGTGAAGTGCTAATGATCCTACACTGCAGTCCTGACTGTCAAATCAAATTATAATGCCATTGCATTTCTTTTTCAAGCAGTTGCAACATAGATTAAACTTCTATTAGATGTAGGACTAAGCACCTCATTAAGTGGGTTAGAATCAATGTTGATTTCTCTATTAAAATGAATAGCCTGTTATTGATCAGTCACTGCTAAACTATGTGAAGTTGCTGTCGATCAGGAATTAGATGCCACTTTAAAGAGCAAATTTATTTTTATTATTACTACCATTCAATACACCTTAACTTTATTCTGTTGCAACCCCTTTAATTTAACAAAAACCTGTATGATAGGTTTAACAACCTGGTAGCTATTTGTCTGCCTGGGGAGTGTGAGCCATTGTGTTAATCTTTCAGGTCATTTTGCTTCTAGGACAATTCAGACTTTCACATACTCTAAATAGAGATTTACAATGCAAATGCTGACAGATCCTTAATCAAGGTTATTAAAGTTACTGGAACTGTTCTCTTTCTTAGAGTAGATTTACACGAGTGTAACTCCATTTACTGGAATGGAGCAGCTCCTGATTTATACTGGTGTAAGTGAATGGAGAATCAGACCCATTTTCTTATGAAGTACTTATTAGTTGAATGGGAATGTAATGTTACATGTGACTGGTGACTTTATAAAGTAATAGATTACTGATTATTTTTGCATTTCGTAGGTGGATTGTACTCTGAGAAAGGCCTTAACAATTTAACAGCATTTCTCACAAGGTCATATCAATAACAGCAAATTGGAGAAGACTTCTGTATGATAGGCCGATTCCTCATGTAGCAGGATAGCATGTATATACCAATAATAGCACCCGCAGAGAATAAGAAAGTCTATCATAAAAAAAAATCTCTTGAAATACAATGACTTGTTGTACAAGAGCCACTTTAACTAATGTATTGGCAGCAGCTCTCTTACCCAGCCATGACGCTTACATCTTTGTGTTTTCAGCAATTAGCTCAGGACAGGAATAATAGAATTGCCAAGAAAGATAACTGAAAACAATCTGTGATATTTTTGAACCTTTCCAAGTGTCCAGGTGTCTTTTGAATTTTGTAACATAGTCTTTTACTGTGATCAGTTATTTACAGAAAAAATCTGGCACCTTGATATCTTGGTGATGGGGGTCACCGCAAACACTTAGATAATTTATTTCTCTGCAGTTCTATCTGCTGAATGCCTGGAGAACATCATCCTCAGGAAGGATCTGGGGTCCCACAGAGCTGTGCTTTGCTTATCCCTTTAATCTTTGGGATGTGCAGAATTTGCAGGTCTCAGCCTCTTCCTTTATTGAAAGGCTGCACATCTCCTCCATGTCTAGAAGAAAATGCAGTTCCAATTCAAATTAGGTGATTTCAAGAGGATATAACTCATGGCTGGGCAAGAGATCCGTTGCAAGTACATTAGTTCAAATGGATCTTGTACAGCAAATCGTTGTATTTCAAGAGGGCTTTTTCATGATAGACTTTCTTGTTATCTGCAGGTGCTATTATTGATATATAAGTGCGATCTGTAATTCCTGCTACAAGGAGAATCTGCCTATCATACAGAAGTCTTCTCAGACTTCCTATTGTTGATGTGACTTTGGGAGCAACACAGTTAATTTATCGGTAGGAGAGTGATTCCTGGACACACAAGTCTGGAGGCATGGCCTGAATGACCTTGTGCTCCAGTGATCCCCAACTGACCGATGGGCTGCTTGGGACTGGTGCAGTAGGCATAATTCAGAGCTATACTAGGTTGCTCCTGGGGACTAGACTATGGCCTGGAAGCCTTAGGCGCAGGCAGCAGCAAAGGTTGCTTTTAGTTGATGATCCATGGTCTGAGATTTGAGTTTGTGATGAAACATGAAACCAGAAACAATATGGATTTTGTAATAAGGGTTTCTCACAGATTTCACCCTTAACTTCTAAATGTCTTTATGTATTGCAGTGCAAAGTACTAGCTCAGTGTGCATGGGTCATGACACCTTCTAGTGGGCAGCTGGATAAAAGTCCAGCTTGTGTTCTTCTAACTGTTCTGGATTCTATTCACAATAAGGACCCATATATCTATATGTGTGTATGAAGATTGGCACCTGGCCTTTGGATAGGAACATCTGTGAACCTCAGATGCTAAGGGAAAAACTTTCTTAAAGGAAGTTACTGGCTCAGTGTGTGCAATCATATTGCTACAAGTAATTGCTCACAGAAAGAACATGAGATTCTTGCTGAGTAAGGGAAATTCTCCTTTGGCTCAAATTGTATTTATTTATTTATTTATTTATGTTGGGATTTATACTAAAATAGATAAAAAATGATAGAAGGCTGTGTTTTTTACCCTGCTGCTGTATGTCTGTGATTTAGTTAATGACCAAAGTGTCTGTATGCCTGTAACCCATTACATCTGTCAGCATACTGGGAGAGCATGCACTCTCTGAGGTGTGGGGAGAAAAAACAGAGGAGTCACCTGGTTTCTCAGCCTTCATTAGTGCTGATAGCCAGGTTAGCACAGGAAAATTGTATGTTTGAAAATATGCAGGCTCCGTATAGATGACTGATGGCTTATGCTTTGGAATATTGCAGTTCTTATAGGAGTATCTCCTCATGCAATCTAGAGGTGAGACAGCCATAAGTGGAAAGTAGAGGTGTTCTACAGCCTTCAGGATGTGGGAGGAGACGCTGGTAAGACATTTATCGTGAGAGCAGAGGACTGGGAGCAAGATCTCCAGTTCTTTTTCTTGCTCTGCTGTGTGGTAAAGTGCCAAGTCAGTTAGGATTTAATTCACCTATAGCATGGAGGGCCAGTGCAAGGTCCTTTGTACCACACAGGGGTTGGACAGGGGATGAAGGCATAGGCCTGTGAAGGAATATGTGAAAGGTGGACTGGGGGCCAGCTACGGGACGAGCAGCTGAAATTGCTCCACCAATCCTCACAACTGTTATTTAGGGGCTGCAGGAACCTTGGATTTTGGATTGTGACTCTTACTTTGGCTTATTGCAGATGATGTGGATTTACCCTTGTCTCTGCCTCCATTTACCCATTTGCAAAGTGGATGTAATAGTAGTTACACGTGTTATTCACAGAAATGTTGTGAGGCTTAATTAAATACTATTTTTTAAATATCTTGAAGTCCTTTGATGAAAGGCTTTATGTTGTTGTTATTTGGTAGATGCAAATGTGTTCTCCAAAGTACACCTGTAACTATATTATAAATCATTATTTTAATATATTTTGTTACGTGTGGTAAGATTTACATCTAGAATGTCTTTTTTTTCGTTATTTTACTGCTCTTTGTGCTTGAGGCATTTCTAGCAAACTAAGAGATCTTCACATGCATAGACAAGTCGCACTCCGGCTGTCTGTAGAGAAATGATTTAGAATAAAGAGAACATCATTTTTAATGCACTACAATAAGTAAAGATTTTACTATGAATTAATAGAATTAATATTTAATGAAATCCCAGTCTTATTTTGTTTGTGTAACATCTGTCTCTTATTATCATTTTTGTCCATCGCTCAATGCTGTTGCCATTCAAAACAAGTAAAAGTAATTTTTTTCTTACAAATCCCGCAATTGAGCAAACTGTATCTCTTTTATAAACCTCTCAAAATTCAGAATATACAGAGAGAGAGTTCTTAAAACATTAAAATGACAATTGGCTTATCTGGTCTTTTGTGGCACTATACAAAATGATATCGGATTTCTGACATCAAAATCAGCGATACAGATTGCCTTTAAAAATACAGAATGTGTTGCTTATGTCAGGAAACAATGTCTCACAAATAACAAAGCACCTTTTGTTCTTTAGTTAATTAGCTCATTATACTTTAGGTACATAATTCTTTCTAAAAAAGCAAACACATCTGAACAGGAATCACAAAAAAGTTATGGACGGTAAATTCAGGCAGCATAAAAATGTTAAAGATGTCGACTTTCCATGAAAGATGTATGTGGTAGCATGAAAGAATTTAAGCTTGTGGAACCAATGCTGGTGTAATGTTTTAATTCCTATCAGTTAAAAAGACGTTCTATTGTTTGTAAATAAAAAGGAAATATTTCACTGAGGCACTTCCATCTGTTACCTTAACAATGAGTGAAGTCATGCAGTTAATCACAGTATTTTCTAAAAAAGGATTTAAACTTGAAGCTCGGCTCTTATATCCCCATGCAGTTATAAAACACTTACCCACCAAGAACAACTATTTCTGACTGTCAGTGTTGTGTTTTAATTCCAGTATGGGCTAGTTCAGAACTCAAAGACATGGATTTCCTACTGAGTGCTGAGATCTGCTGCCAGGAATGGCTGCTTTCCAAGAAAATGTGCTACCTTTTCAAGATAAGTGTTCTCAGGTGTAAGAATGTCTTCACTGCTGAATTTGTTTGCTTGCAACATTTTTAACAATATGTAATCTTCCAAATATTTAATTTAAGCAAGCTGTGCAACATAAAAATAATGGGGAAAGAAAAACCTTGATGGCTCAGAACTCTAATCCTTTCTAGCGCTAGTGGTGTGCTCTGCTGAGGACTGTGATTCCAATCAGTGCACTGCTCTCAAAGCTGGGAAACAGACTGGCAGGACTAGCACTGCAAGGCAAGTTTCAAGTTCGGTCGCTCAACAAAAAGCCCTTCTTTTTTTTAATTACAGATATTGCTTTTCCCTAGGGAAGGAATTCTGGGACAATACTGGTGCATACTGGGAAATTTTAGATCACAGTATTTATCTACATAGCCCATTACGGACTAGTGAAAAGGCTGTTTTGGAGCATAATGGATAGTGACTTTTTTTTTTTTTTTTTGCTGTTGCGTTTACTCAGCCATCTGGTCTAAGCATCCCTGATGGTGCTGTAAAGTCAGGAAAAATGTTACATTCATTATGGAGAATTCCTGAGGAAAACTGAAAACATGTTCAAAGGCAAATAGCAGTTTCAAGGATGTCTTTGACACTCCGTACCGCTTCTCAGAGTGCTGCAGTGAAAAGATTGCCTATGTGATGTGTACCTGAAATTAGTAAGTGCAGGAAATTGCTTCCTTTAAAAAAGAAAAAAAATGTCTGCTATGGAAACTTTAAACCACAAACCACTGACATATATGTTAGTATAGGATTGCCTTTTAAAACATACATGCAATTTAAAACGATATAATTACATTGTGTTTGAAACACCGACATTTCATATAAAAATGTTTGGCATATACAACAGGGGCACGGGCACTATTCAGTATACAAAAAACATACAAAGTTCTTTTTACTGTTTGAGATTCACTTCCATTCCAATCCTAAAAAGGAAGCACCCTCTGCTGGCTCCTACTAGATATTACTTTATTCCTTTGAAACATTCAGCTATAAACTGTAAAATAAATTGCTCTGAATTAGGTTCCTGAGGTTCATTTCTGATCAATTTGTTAATCTGAGTGGTACTACTTGTGGCTAATTGAGCAAAAATTACTCTTAACTCATTCACTTTAAGGTAATGATGGTGATACTAAGCCAGGATCAAAAAGGTGTCACATATTACCTTTAAATTAATATTGAGGTTCTGCGCAAGCAGATAATGCAATCTACACTGACAATTTTTTGCTGAAAATTAAAACCAAATACTGGCTATTTTTGTATTGATATGTAAAACATGTAATCCTGGGACAGAGAGACAGGAAAGTTTTAGAACTAATCTAACTATATGTATTTCAGATAGGAAAAATATATTGGGACAAATGTAGGTCCATCAAAATGGGGGGATGGGGATGGAGATGCTCCCTGATTTCTAGAAAGTGAGAATCGATACATTAAATGTCCTTTTTACTGTTAAAATATTGGAAAGTACAACATGCCCAACCCATACATTTCTGCCAGCTTATGTTACTCAATAAAATATTATTTTTGATGTTTCTTTCCTTTTTTAGTGTGTAAGTTAAAACAATAAAATAAAAATCAAGTAGATTTTTTTTTTCAAAATGTCCCTATGATCTGCTGTATCAGATTGTGCCAGTCAGTGACTTGATCAAAAATGGGGCAACTGAAGTGATATATCTTTAGTACAATGTATGGTTTCAGAGGAACAGCCATGTTAGTCTGTATTCGCAAAAAGAAAAGGAGTACTTGTGGCACCTTAGAGACTAACCAATTTATTTGAGCATGAGCTTTCGTGAGCTACAGCTGATGAAGTGAGCTGTAGCTCACGAAAGCTCATGCTCAAATAAATTGGTTAGTCTCTAAGGTGCCACAAGTACTCCTTTTCTTTTTGCGAGTACAATGTATGTATTCCTCTCTAAGAGCTGAAATGGGAAAAGGCTGTCCCATGACTTTGTAGTTCAACGTTTGCAACTCTGACCTTCTGATTTGGTTTAAACTTTCTCAAACAGTGATTAATTACACAATACTACATGGTAGTATATATTTTTCACTTATGCCCCAAATGAGGATTTTAGGGCCTTGATGTAGGGCCTTGATGCTTAATTTTAAGAACAGGAGCTGAATTTGGGGCCTTACGTAGTAGAATATACTCAACCCATTTTCCAAAGTGATTCCACCCATTCAGCATGGTTTTGAGGAATATAGTATTTTAAAGTTTTGTCAACATCCCCACTGAGCTGCTCTCATAATTGAGGGAGCCCACCAGTTAGCCATACAGCGACACATTAAGATTCTGAATTTGATGGACTAGAAGTTGGTTGTGCTTTTTTTGTGAGGGTAGAGAGGTGTGTTTGCTAGTGTAAAGCCATGTGAGGGATTTCTTTTAGGAATTGGCAGCCATTTCCCCCATTTCATGAAATGTTTTAGTACATATACCTACATGCAATGGCACTGAACACAGCTTTCAGCAATGCAGGATGCTGTACTGTGGCAGAACTAAATGAAGAGCAGGATTTAATAGTTAAGGCAATTTTAATAATTATTTTAAAAAATGGAAAACAACCTGATATTTTAGAAAACTAATCTGAATATAACTCATTAGCATGTCAGTCCTGGACAATAACCCAGATATGGTCAAACTCATGCAACTTTGAATGGCAGCTAGAGATTATAGATTATGAAGTTAATTTCATATACCTTGGAGTTCAAAATTACAGTTAATGTTGTATGCATGACTGATTTGAAAAGAAGGAATGTGTATGTTAATACAAAGTGTTGCAAATAGTTACACAAGTAGAACTGGGCCAACTGGCAATAAAATTCAGAAATAGCACTTTTTTATTGTCTACACACACTGAAAGATAATCTCTGAGGATTTTTAGGCTCAAATTCTTTCAGTCTCCTGTAGAGAAATGACCACTTTTGTAGCATATTTTCTGTGGCAACATTCCAGGCCATTTCAGGCCATTTCACTTTCAGTTTTGTGATAGGCCTTTATTTAACATGTATTTTCTTTCCTTTCATTGTGTGTTAGGTTTTTCTAAAACATTGCACTTTTGCAGCGTTTATATTCCCAAAGCTTTGCAGAATAATTCTAATAGAGTTGTTAGATAGTGTGCACAACAAGGAGAGAACATAATAGAAGGCAGGGGAGGAAAAAACTGTTTTCAGATGAACTTGGGAATGAGATGGAGAACTGATAAAGTGGAAGGTACTGGAAGGCAATTCCAGATGACAGGAACTGCAGTAGAAAAGACTCTCATGTCAACAGTGGGAGATTCTTTGGAGGGCAGACAGACGAGAAGTGATGAGTGGAGATTCTTTGAAATGTAAGAACTGAAAAAAAGAAGTACCCCAGTATTACAAATGCATGTGTTCTAGAAGTCACCTAAACTCCCATTCTGTTACTGTGGACCCCATGAAGAGACTCCATGTGAGTTCAAGGGTCCACACAAGTGTCTCTGTTTGAAGACTTTGGGCCAACAGCTCTTTATAAGTCATTTTGGGCTGATACATAAATACATCACATTTGGGGAATTTTAAAAATACATATTCAGAATGACTTCTACAATGTGCATTTCAGTGGTTCAGTGGTTCAGAAGATGCTATTGTGTGGCTAGATCTTTGGGTAAATTTAATGATATAAATTATAGAGGCATTTTGGTTCTTATACTGCACCCATCACCTTGGTGTCACAGAAAAAAATTAGCAGGTGCTTAGCACCCACCAGCAGCCAAGCTCCCTTCCTCTCCCCCCACTCTTGCCCACCTGTGGCCCCTACAAATCAACTCCTTCCCCTCCCTCCAGTGCCTCCTACATGCCGTGGAACAGCTGTTCTGCAGTGTGCAGGAAGATCGCTCAGGGGAGGGGAAAGAGCGGGGATCGGGCGCTTGGGGGAGGGGGCAAAAAGAGACAAAGCAGGGGCATAATGGGGGTGGGAAGAGGTGGGGCTGTGTTCGGGGGTGGGGGGAAGGGGTGCAGTTGGGGTGGGGCCTGGGGCTGAGCAGGGATTGAGCAGCCCCGGGGAAAATGTGAAGCTGGCACGTGTCTCTGACTACCTAGAACGCATGTTTTCCTAAGAAATAATAGTAGAACTTTTGAAGCACATAGAGGTCTGCTGTGTAAAAAATTTTCTTTGTCTTTAATAAAAACAGTGGTGCCTAGGCTTCCTTCCACTTAGTGGTGGGGAGAGGATAAAATCAAATAGAAAGTCATGGCGGATCCATGTACAGGGGGATGGTAGCTAAGTGGGGCTCTCCCTTGTGCCCTGTTTAATCATCTTTTCCCTCTGCAAAATATGTGGGCTGGCCCAGGGGTTGGAGCAGGATCACACTAAGCACTATGCTCCCTGCAGCAAATGCAGCTGAGCCGTGAGAAAAGTCTGTGGAGAATTAATGTAGCCTGAGGTGGTATTAATTTAAGATGTGCACACTATGACTCTCTTCTGCAAAGTCACAGTGCAGCAAGGGGCCTGTAGCCAACAGCTGTGGGTTCTCATACCACACTGTGGATATCCATGATATCTGAGCACCTCCAATAGTAACTATTATCACACCACTGCAGATTGCAAAACTGAGGCAGAGAGATTAGTGACTTGAGAAAGATCACACAATGAGTCAGTGTAAGAGCTAGGATTAAAACTCAAGAATTCCTGGCTCCCAGTCCTAAACTCAACCCATTAGACAGTGCTTCCCTTGCAGAATCACACCAGCTGAAGAAAAGGAAAATAAAAAAATGCTAAACCATGCACTTGTAATTTCCCCCCCTTCTTTCTATGCTATTAGTTTAAAATAGCTAAGAGGATTTTTCTACAAATTTAATTTGAAAAAAGTGATGCCAGACTATGATCAAGTAGGACTTTAAAAAACTCGTTTGTATTCTGTGGGGGGAGGGGGAGAAAGGAGTTAACAGTAGAAACACTGAACACGTGGCAAATGTGTATTATGATTTTATTGAGGATGGCCTATGAGTCTAATCATGTCACCTTCATTTTGCAATTAAAACATGCTTGCATTAAGTCTTCTTTATGCTTATCCAGTGGGACAATGGGAGCTGTGGAGCTAGTGCTCAGGGCCGGGTGGGGGCAGCACAGAGAGCTGCCTAGCCGCGCCTGCTCCTAGGAGCATCAGGGACATGTCGCCACTTGCGGGAAGCCACCTGAGGTGAGCCCCGCCCAGATCCGGCACCCGCACCCCCTCCCGCACCCAAACTCCCTCCCAGAGCCTGCGCCTCACACCCCCTCCCATGCCCCAACCCCCAGCCTTGAGCCCCCTCCCACACCCAAACTCCCTCCCTCTTAGTAAACCAGAATTTTTTTACTTACCGGCACCCCCCTTTCCCTCAACATTCCGGATAACAAAACTTTTACTGTATTATGCATGTACAGAGGTTACAGTTTATAGAATTCAGCAAGGAAAAGAATGAGTTCTAGACCAATTTCTTTCCGGTGTTCAAGTATTAAGATTTCAAGGGGACCCAGCTGATTGTTCTTGTTTGAATCAGCCCTAATATATCAT